CATGAGACTGCAGCTGCCCCGTCACCGCCGGCTCATACCTGGCTTTCTAATAAGCTCTGAGGCGGTGGCCACCTTGTATGCCGTCCAGATGCATTTCTGCCAAAAGCCGCTGGGTTTCGAGATTTGTTTCTGAGTCTCTGAGTTCATGGCCATTAAGCAGGTTGATCAGGAGTCAGAGGGGCCGTTTGTAGGAGGCGACTCTGGGTCTTGCTGGGATGGGGAGGAAAGGGCTGGTTCCACCCCCATCTGGTGAGGCCCCACGTGACTCGTCACTGCAGGCCCAAACCTGACTCTCCAGTGGCCCCTGCAGGATGGCGGTCACCGGACGCCAAGGGGAACAAGCCAAGGCACGAAACCTATTCCCACCTGGAGTGGCCCAGCCCCAGTAACCTACTGCAGGAACAGGACGCATTTCTGCCAAAAGCCTTTGGGTTCTGAAATTAGTTTCTGAGTCTCTGGGATCATGGTTATTAAGCAGTTCGATTAGGAACCAGAGAGGCCATGACTCCAATTATATAGCTGAGCCAGAGGTGGTTTGTGGGTGTGTCTCCCACATACCTAACTTTTGGCCGTTTGCTTTCTTGGTAAACTTTGCCCCAAGTTTTTGGGGTCTAGCCAAAGGCACAGCAGCAATTTTGAGGTATCTGAAAGTCTGACGGTGCCATCAGGCTGCTGATGCACTCACCTCACAGGTACAGATTGACCTGCTGGTGTCACCATACCTCCTCACCATTATTATTTGGAATTTTCCTGCCACCACTCAAATCTGCCGAAAAGGCAATGCTAGACAATTTATTTTGTATTGCTTGTTATGAATAGCATGATGTTGCATGGCCACTCTCATGGCTGTGCACTTCTGGAATTCTAAAATTTTAGATAAGTAGGTTCTGGAGAGATCTCTGTAGTGAGTTGCTCAATTTCAAGAATCTTCTGTGTGTCTCTGGGTCACGGTTGTTAAGGAGCTTAAATAGAAGCCAGAGGCAGTTTGTGGGCGTCACCTCAGGGTCCCATTGGGGCAGTGGGACGAGAGGTTCCAGCTCATCCCCTATCCCATGAGGCCTGACGTTTGCTGTTACTACTCCCGCGTACCTGGGCTTCTCATTGGATTCTGGAAGATGGCGGCTGCCAGGATTCCTAGGGGGCAGGTGGAAGAAGCCTGCTCCTGTCTGGAGTAGAATGGTGAAATCAGATTGGTGCAAAGTCTGAGGCATTTCTGCAATGAGCTTGGTTATGAGATTCTTTTGTGTGTCCCCTCTTTAATTATTAAACCGATTTAAGACTTTGATTTATTTTTTCCCACTTATAAGCAAGAATTCAAAGTGGTATACCAAAGGATGCCAGATTATGAAAGAGGAAATTTGAAGTAAAGATTATTAAAGAACAGAGGAAAGAATTTGTAAAATGTGAACTCTTTTTCTGTGGTTTTTTTTTTTTTTTGTGCTACACCTGGCATTGTGTAGGGCTTTCTCCTAGCTTTGTTCTCAGGAATCACCCTGGTGGTAATTAGGGGACCATATGAAGTGCTGGGTATTGAACCTAGGTAGACCGTGTGCAAGGCAAATGCCCTTCCTGCTGTACTATTGCTCCAGTCCCTAAAATGTGAGCTCTTAAAGCAAGGCTCAGTTATTAGTGTGCCTGCTATGTAGGTATGAGGCTATGAGTTGGATTCCCTGCACTTCATTCTGAGTGTAATCTCAGAGGCACTGCTATTTGGAATCCCCAGTGCCACAATTGTATGATTTCTGAAGCACCACAACCAAGTATGTGTGAGCACAACTAAACGTTTACAAACCCTGATGACCACCATGATCAAATGTGCTACCTCTAGTCATTGAAACAACAATAGCAACAATAGCAAGAGGGGTAGGAGGGGGGAAATAAAATAAAATTGGAAAGCCAAATACCTTATAGCTGAATAGCAGAATATGGATGAAGTTAAAATTGACCCAATCAGTAGAGTTAATGCAGTAGATGTTTCCAGCATTGCAGTCGACTCTAAGGAGTCTACACGCAGGACTGCTTTGATTGCTGTCCTACTACACCCCTTTTTAATCCTCCAAATATGCTGTTCGCCACTCTACTTTCTTTCCTATGAGGCTAACTTGCAGGAACCACATCAGTTGGTCTTTCTGGCTTGGGGTTGGGTTTGCCTAATGGACATTATCAGTATGAGATCAAAGGAAAGGATGAAAATTAAGTTGAGGCAATTTTCTCCTGTTTCCCTATCTATAAGATCATACTGAGCTGATTGAACCATTCAGCAAGGTCACCATTCCTCTTAAGGCAGCCAAATGTCAGGACGCATTTCTGGTAATCACTTCCAAGCCCTGTTTCTTAGGGTCTGATAATGGTAACAGCTTAATTTCTACTAGTTTGACTCATTGAACTATACTTTGTGGTTCTGTCCATCTATACCTTTATAAGTAATCTTTTTGTAAACAAACCCTCTTCAATTATCCTATTTTTTCAATTGTGCTACATGTTTCTTCTTAGAACTCATGCTTTGGTCTTACAGGCATCAATGAAGGCGTATACTTAAAGAAGCTACCAGACTGAGAAATATACTAAATTCTTCTCAAACTTTTTGAACTCCTTTATGATATTTTCTTCCCTCTTAGCCCGAAACTCAGTAACTTAATTACGAGAAACCTATATAGGAGTAATATTGGTATTATGGACTCATCCCACCACCAGTCAAACAATACTAGCTTAGTAGACCTTAGTGAGTACAGCTTCCAAGAAAATACAGGATTCCTGCTGTAGCCCAATCTCTAAGTCTGAGAAATTTCTGTCGTTAATTGCAATTACCATTAGCAATTGGCTCTGGGAGACAGTTTGTAACCAGACATGACCTGAAGTAATTTAGCTGGCTTTTATCAAACAATTACAGAATTTTTCTTTTGAATTGTGTTCTTTCTCACTGCTCAAAGTTTCTACTAGTGTTGATCTCTTATTTATTTTTAGGCCACACCCAGCTGTGCTCAGGGCTTACTTTTGGCTGGCATTGCACTCAGGGATTACTTCTGGTGGGGCTTGAGAGACCATATGTGGTGCCAGAGAATGACTCAGATCAGCCGCATGCAAGGCAAGTGCCCTAACCTCTGTATTATCCTACTGTTGCTCTCTTACACAAATAAGTGTAATTTAAAAAAACTAGGTGTCAACCTTGATGAAACAAAAAACGTAGTTGATTTGTACTAAGTTGTCTTTAGAAAAACTGGAGCAAGAAGTTTTGTAGGATAACACTGGTTTGTTGTTTCTCCCTGACAGTAAGGAGCTTAGGTTTATTAGGTTATACCCATCACAGTGCTCCCACGGCACTCCCATTCCTCTGTGTTTATCTTTAACCTCTTCTCTGTGCTCTCTTCCCCAACCAGTTAATCACCATTTTCCCTTAAGCAGTACCTGTGACTTGTAAAGTCAGATTGCTCAGAAATCTCTGATTTTGTATTTGTAAGTGAAATATTGTTTTTCTCCTTCTCTTATGTCCTTATGCATAATTTACTTCAGAGCAATGTCCTTTTTGTATAGGCACAGGAAGACAGTTAATGCTATGCTTTTGCAACATGGGAGTTAATTGACTCTGTATAATATTCACTCCTGGGCATCTGTTTTCTTGACTTAAGCCTCAGTTGCCCTTAGTTCCTAGCACCACAAAAGCAGTGTCCCGACAAGGGGATGAATGAACCCAGGGTAAGCTCTGAGCTATCCTGGCATCAAACCGGGCCAGGCCAAGAGCCATAATACTTAGCTATAAGTTAAAACCATGGTCATGGGCAAATTCTGTCATGATCCAAAGAGTAAAAACTGGGTTATGACCCTGATAGGGATAGGAAAGACTAATCTGGCCTGAGCACTGTAGTCCGAGATCTATAGAAAGATGTCCCTAAGAGAGCCACGCTATAAGCTTAATGTATCTCGTACTGTGTCCATACAAAATGGCTAATATTAGGAAGTAGAATTAAGATGAATGTTTAAATGGTTGTTGGACTAAGGAAAGGAGAAACACACCCCTAGGTGGTATTTCACCCTTGAGGGGATCTCCTGGCTGCAGGAGATCAGAAAGGGCTTTCATGTGTTGATTGTCTTACATATGACCTAGGTGTGGTTGCTACACCCAATGCTTGGAGTTTGAACACAAGGCCAAGGCAGCGAGATGGAGCGCAGAGAGACTAAAATAGGGGAAAGGAGGAGACGGGAAAGAGGGGCAATGTGAGACTGTATGGGGCGCTTAGTGAAACTGGAACAGGCGTGGGGAAGAATGGAATAAATGGCAACTGATCACCAACCAGCCTGGTGACACTGTTCCCTTCTTCATGCATCTGTTGGCAGTGGCTGCAGGCCGGGGTGGGTAAGCGGCTCATCACCATCAGACATACATGGTTGGCGAGGGAGACTTCCACTGCCACCGGCTTACTTATTTATTTTGTGATTACACAAAGATTGCAATAGGAAAATGCTCAGAAATGAAACAACTTTTAGTTTCATCCTCCTGTGGCTAAACCCCAAATGCCTCCCAAAAAAAATCTGGGGAAAAGGAAAATAAGACAAGCTAATAGGCAGTCAATTGTCAAGTTTTCTACCCATGTGGCTGCCAGTATTCTTGTGTGAAAATGAAAGGTGAAGTTTAGAAAGAGAAAAATCAAACACTTATTTTTTCCAATTTATTATTGTCATCAACTCCCCAAGGTAATAAAAATGTTTTCTACATGAAGATACTAAAAAAAATGCCAAAAAGCTTATTTTAGGAGAGCAATTTCAGAGGAGTGAGGGGTGAAAAATACTAAGTCTAACATGGATCAAACTGTGAAGGTATTTGCAAAGAGCATTTCTCATTGAAAACCAAGGAAAACCAAGTGCGTTGCAATAGACGGTATACCAATCAAATCTTGATACAGCACAGTGTGTGTGAGGCATTTAAATTAATGCACTAGACATTTATTCAACAGTTAGACTGCAACTTTAATGAATATATTAAAATACAGTTCTGTACAATAAAGCTGTTTTTTCCATGTCCCAGATCACACCCCAAACTATCTTAGCCTTATTCAATTATACTGCTTGCCAACTGTGGACATGATGGAGTTCGTTGAATGAGAAATAGTGATGACACAAGATTCATAATTTCTTGTCTGTTTAATAGTCAATATATTTAACAGGATCATGTATTATGTATAAAATGTAGCACCAGTAGTTGAATTCCTGTGAAATGTTAACTATTCTAACTCGAATGTGACACATGCTTCAAAATGTTGGGGATATCACTCATTTTTCCCAGAAGATGTTAAATCCTGGTAAGCAGAACCTCAGAGAAGAAAGAGCAATGGACCTGGAGTCAGATGCAATGCAGGTTGTTTTTGCTAAGTGCTCTCTAATGTCCTTTCCAGATCAAATGTTCTAGTATCTTCTTCTACTATATTTGGAGAGTTGGATGATTTGAGATGAATTTTCAAATGGCTGTTAAGCATTTTCTATTTTTAAAAAAAATTTTAAAAGTTAGTTTCGATCATTGAATTTGGTGAGGAATGGTGTTGAGACAAGACCATTTTTGTGTGTGTTCTATTTTGTATTTCCCACAGATTTGCTTTCACCTATCTTCTCTCACTTGTTGCTAACAGTAAATCTCCCTCTCCTGTCCATGAGAGTCCAAAAAGCAGAAGCAGTCTCCTCTAGCACAAAACTAAGAGAAAAACACCATCTGAGAGACTATATTGGTGTGGTGTTTTTATTTTATGGGCTCAAATTCCCAAGAATAAGTAGTTTAGACTTTCAGAGAATTTCATAAAACAAATGTTGTCTCTATGCTCAGACTTCTTTCTGTCCACCTCTACCGATGTTTTGATTTCCCCAGTGGTGTCTGAACTATAGAAAGCACAAGCTGAAAGTATCCAAACACCTTTCTATTCAAACCTATTTCTCTCTTGCCTTCCCAGTCTAGATCCACTGTCTCACTATCCGACTGGTTCAAACCAAGTTCTAAACCAGGAAGTCATCTTTACTTCTTCTCCTTCATTGCCCATTTCCCAGTCTGGCCCCTCTCTGATCGTCATGCACGATGTAACTGTCAAAGATTCTAAAATACAAATATGATCACAGAACTTCCCCACCTAAAATGCTTTAATGGCTCCTTTTCACCTCTTAGATAAAATTCAGAATCCTCTTGCAGTACTTACAGACCTCTCTAGCTCAACCACCTCCCACTCTTTGCCATTTCTCTGAGTCCTTTTCTCTCTAGTTCCATGAACTGCTCATAGGTGATCCCAAACACCATGATCTTTTACAAATCTGCCTTTGCATATTTCCTCAGTTTCCATAGCATTCCCACCTACACATTTATAACCTTTCTCACAGTATTTATGAAGTTACTTTTTAACCTGTTCACCTCCACTACCAGTCTGCCCATTCCCTGTTTGAGGAGAGGATAGACATTGTAAGGAGAATCAGAGTGGATGCTTCTAGGTGGCATTAGATCTTGTTTTGAATCAGGAGACATTATGTTATGGTCGGATGCTCCTTTTCTCTTATTGTTACAGTCCTCTCTCTGGTGGAGATGCTGAGAAACAGTGACATGGTCACATGGTCAAAGGTAAGACAATGCATGATTCTGGATGATGCACAACCTGAATAAACATCTGCTCCATACCATTTTTTTAGCAAACAAAAATCTTAATAATAGGCCTGGACTTAGGGTGACCTGACAGGAGCTTTCTGAGTTAGTTGGCATACCTCGATTTCAATGCTCACAGCTCTGTTTATCTGGTGTCAATGCACATACATACATCCCTGATGATCTTAAAACACATTAAACTATTGTCAGACAAATAATCCAAGGATAATGAATGGGTAGAAGTCATCATTTTAGTTTTATCTTCTGCCTAAAGTTGAGAGAAACCTGTTTGCAAGAAATCTTGCCTTTGAATGAGTATAACATAGAGCAAAGAATCAAATAGCAATCAATTACATTTATATGGCAGGTATTCTCCCCAATTGTAGTGGGGCCCTATTCCACAAAAGAAAGTCATAGGGAAGATCTCTATCTCTATCCCAGAACAAAATTCAGTTAGTTCCATATCTGTCCCAGTTGAAGACTGGGAATCAAAGTCCTTAATCTTTGAATCAATGTTAAATTTCCCATGGGAGGCAACCCATTTCTTGAGTAACCCTAAATGTAGGGTTTTCTAGGTGTTGTGAACATGAATATATCTGAGTTTATTTTGATTGGTGATTCCAAGGTCAAGAAAGTTTTATAAAAAATTAATTATTAGCCTGGTTGGGAGAAATCTTATCTCTCTATCAACAAAAGTTTTACAGAACAAAATGAATCTATAATTGTCACAGAAATGCTCTCTCATGGCTATTGTGAAGGTCATCAGATGCTGTATTCATACTATTGTGAGAATTTTAGTGGAAAAATTGGAGTTTAGTTTTAAGTGTGTGGAAGGGCAGTAAAGTGAAGGAGATTAATATAAGCTATTTTTCATTAGGAAGGTCTAACTTTAAAAAATCAAATAGCGCCTAAATTTTCTACACATGTCAAAGACAAGGAATGATGTCTTTGGAGTCTGCCTGCTTGTGTTCTGATGGAAGAAAAAGAATTCAGGTGCTTCTAGGGTCACATGAAAGAAAACAATATGCAGAACTGGTGGGCAGGGCTCCCTGAAATTCTTAGGTTTCTATGTTCAGAGTAAAGATGACCCTGCCCACAAAGCGATCATTAATGACATCATTTATGATGCCTTTTCCCTTCACTTGGCACTGCACAGGCACGGCTTGGTTCTTCACCACATCTGTGAAGTGCATGGCCACCAGTGGGGAGGTATAGTTAACCTGTAGGTGGAAGAACAATGAGGAATTGAAGGTAATAGGATGGATGAGATCAGCTATTCATTGCAGGACAGAGCAACTTCCACAAAGGAAACCAGCCAAGCCTGCATACAAATGGCTAACATCACTGACATTCTCTCTTGGCCCTCAGCAAAGTGGAGAAATGACCCATTTCTCTCATAAGTTACTGTCAGAGGTCTGATTGTTCTCTGGGGGGGAACAATTCACACTCGGCTTGATAAGATTTTCTGGCTATCAGGCCATAAATCAAACAGGAACTAGCATCTATCAAATCTCTGTGTTGGCAAGGAAGCCATGAAACTTTTGCTGCCCCAAGGCTTAAAACGGGATAAGCAGGCAAGTGTGATAATTTTGGGCAGAATTGGGCATCGAGGAAGTGATTTCTCTGCTCCAGGGTTCTGGTACTGATGAACTTTGTGGCCTTGAGCTAGTCATTTTCTCTCTCCAAACCCTAATATATGTATCAGTAAACAGACAGTATTAGATCAGACAATATCGGAAGTTCCTATTGATGTGGAAATAAGGGGCTATGATAGGAGTTCAAAAAGGGAGGTCCTGGTCTTGACCGGCAGTTCTTTGCCTGCTGGTACTACCTGCTGCTTCCTCAGCAGTCTTGTCTGAATCAACTATTTGTCTCTTAGTCCTTTAGGACAGCCAAGTGAGCAGTGCATACAGACTTACGTGTGTCAGCTTGCCATAGTAAGGGTAGTAGCGGAGGTCAAAAGAAGCTGACTCTGGGTAGTACTTGATGGATCTGATGTCGTTTTCATCACCTCTCTGTAAGTAAAGGCAGACATATGTAGTGTGCTCGGTTACTCGGTGATTGGAACCTGAGCTAAAAGGGATTGTGACATAGGTGGAATCACTATGCAACCACTGCCCTTCTCACCCCCTACACCCCGCACCCAGCCAAGAGTATAAAGAAAGGAAAATGGAGCAAAACAAAGCCTGATACAACCCACAGGACAGTTCCCAGGGAAAGATTCCACCTTGCCTTTGTAGCTCATAGAATGCTACATTAAGTGCAAGAGATATAGATAGTATAGGGGTTAAGGTGCTTGGTTTGCATATGGCAGACCCTGGTTCAATCCCCTGTACTGAAATATGTCCCCTGAGCCCTGTCAGGAGTGATGTCTGAGCATAGAGCAATTGGCTCACATCGAAAACGAACAAGAAAGGAATACTGCTTTGAAGACCTTTACTGAGAAGGCTGAATGTACTTGGTGTGCTTTTGGGGGTGGGGAGAGAAGGGGAGGAGAGGAGACCATACCTGGCAGTGATTGAGGGCTACTCCCATCTCTATGCTTGGGGATCATTTCTAGCAGGGTTCCAGAGGATTTATCACTGGTGCTGCTCTGACAACACGGTTCAAAAAGGACTAGCCCACCTCCAAAGAATCATACTGGGAATGACACTCACTTGGGCTTGATACAAGAATGAATTGAAACATGTTTCTTAAATCATGTTCTTTAAATTTCATGTTGTGGGCTCAGTTCTACTGGGTGTGAGAACAGCTTATGGGTAGGTGCCCACTTTGTACATTGAAGGCCCTAGATTTGATCCTTGGCACCAAAATAATACAAAATAAGGGTCAAGGAGAGCACTCAAAGGGTTGTAATTGGGGCCAGAGAGATAGCATAGGGCTTAAGAAGCTTGTCTTGCATGTGGCTGACTGACCTGATTTTGATCCCTGGCACCACATATGGTTCCCTTGAGCATCATTGTTAGTGACCTCTGATCACTGAGCCCATAAAAATCTCTAGCTACCAGAAGGTGTGGCCCTTCAAACCAAAATAAACAAAAAATTAAAAGTAAGGCAGGCTAGGTGCCTAAAGTGGGCATGGATGAACCACAGGGGCAAATTTCTAGCTGGCTTCTCTACACTCACATCTGTGACTTAATTCTTAGTGTATTTCATTATAATAGGTGGAGTCAGAGGCCAAGTTTGTGGGGCCCAGTATTGGAAACAATTAAACAAATTAGTGACCATCATGTCAGGTAGGGTCTTGCCCATTTTGTCTTTGTGTTAGATTTGCTCTAAAGAGCAGAAGTTTAGGGGTTAATAAGGTACAAAGTATGCATCACTACTTGCAAATCACTCAAGGGAAGTGGGGGGGGGGTGAGATGATTTTGTTTTGTTTTTGTTTTGGAGCCGTGCTCAGATGTGCTCAGGAGACCATGTAGTGCCAGCAATTGAACCTGCCCCCCCTGCATGCAAAGCCTGTGTTGCAGTCCTTTATGGCATCTCTTTGACCCCTCCTCATAGGTATACGTCTGTCAAGATAGTATAATTGTTTTTAGTAAAAACTCAGATATTCAAGGGGATAGAGTGATAGTACTAGGTTCAAAGTACTTGCCTTACATGCACTCAACATATTTTTTTTTACCACACTCGGTGATGTTCAGGGGTTACTCCTCACTTTGCACTGAGAAATTATTCTTGGTGGTGCTTGGGGGACCATATTGGATGCTGGAGATTGAACCTGGGTTGGCTGCGTGTAAGGCAAATGCCCTACCCACTGTGCTATCACTCTGTTCCCATAACCAACCCATTTTTGGTACCTAGCACCAGATAGAATACCTAGAGCCCTTCTAGAAGTGATCCCTTAGAAAACAGCCAGGAGTAAGCTGTACTATCTTTCTGAACCCCTCTACTAGAACTTTTAATCAGCCCAATTAGTATACTAGTTAAACACGTTTAATTTTCTTCTTTTTTTGGGGGGGGGCGAACACTCAGCAATGATCCTGGGTTACTCCTAGCTCTGCACTCAGGAATTACTCCTGGTGGTGCTTGGAGGGCCGTATACAATGTTGGGGATTGAACCCAGATTGGCTACATGCAAGGTAAGAGCCTTGCCTGCTGTACTATCTCTCCAGCCCCTGTTAGTCTTCTTTTTGATTAATTTATATATGTTGCTAACTAGCACTGAAATTCCTCTTTTAGGACAGAGGAGGGACCACTATGACAATGATAGCTGGAAATGATCACTCTAGACAAACCTGGTGTGCTGAAAGGAGGTAAAGTAATATGCATGATACCCTTTCAGTAACAGTTTGCATGTTGTTAACTGAATTCAATCCCTGACACCCCATATGATCCCCGGAGCCCCACCAGGATCTATCCCTGAGTGCATACCCTGGAGTAAGTCCTAAGCATAGCCAGATGTGGCCTCTACAAAAATGTTTTTGGGCTCAGGGACTACTCCCAGCACTGTCTTTGGAGGTCATTCCTGATGGTGCTGGGGAGACATACAGCGCTGAATATGGAACCCAGGCTTCCAGCATGCAAAGGCTGTGCTTAGCTCATTGAGTTGTCTCCCTGGCACTTGAAATTCTTTATTAGTGAATGGTCTTGGTCTATAATATTTATTCACTAGTAAAGTTGAGTCAACTTCATTAATTTGTAGTCGCACCTCACATGCATGTGTATTTACACATATTCACATACCTGTGAACAAAATGAGTGTCCTTTTGGGAGACTACCAATATCGCTTTCACTAGTATGTGGAATGTATATAACTAAAGAAGGATAGGGAAGAAGGCTGAAATAGCTGAGTACAGATTTGGTAGGAGGGAGGACTACATTCAATCCCTAGCACCGTGTGATTACCAAAGCACTGCAACAAGCAACCCCCAAACATTGCCAGCTGTGGCCAACTCCCCCAAACAATAGAATCAAACAAACTGGCAAAAATTGCAGAACCTAAACTTGATGACCTTTACTAGAAGGAAATGGGCTTGGAAGGGTGAGCAGAGGAGTCTTTTGTGGATGGGAGGGTCCCAGAACTTTGATATGCTCTGAACTTTTATAATATTTACAAGTAATAATAACTTGATTTTTTAGTGAAGCAAGAGTTTTATTGAAACTTACTTAGAAAGATGTGAGGGGAGAGAAAGACAGGAAATAAGTTCAAGGGAGAACATGACTTGAAGAGCGAGTTAAATAGATCTTTAGATGGGGGAAGGAGAGCAAAACCACAAGTTTTTGTTTATCAAGCAAAAGCAAATACACATAGGGGCTGGAGATAGTACAGTGGGTAGGCTGCTTTCCTTCATATTGCCGGCCCAAGTTGGAGCCCTGACATCCCATAGGGTCTGCTGACCACCATCAGGAGTAATTCCTGGATGCAGAACCTGGAATAAGCCCTGAGCACCACTGGGTGCAGCCCAAGAAACAAAACAAAAGAAAAAAGAAAAGCAAAGACTGCCTCACATAGTGTGGACCTACCTAACTTTTTCTTCTTTGGTGATCCCATTTGCTCGAGCAGGCCCAGTAACGTCTCCATTGGAGACTTTGTTGTTACTGTGTCTGGCATATCGAATACTCTCGGTAGCTTGCCGGGCTCTCCGAGAAGGGCGGAGGAATCGAACTCGGGTCGGCCATGTTGGCTGCGTGCAAGGCAAACGCCCTACTGCTGTGCTATCGGGTGACCCCATCATAACTTTTCTAGTGAAGTAGGCAGATAGACGGAGACCTTCTGGCATTGAATTCTCAGGACATAATACAACCAAGATAGGATTGAAGAGTTTCCCTCTCACTAACCCTAAAGTAACAAAAGCATTGAATCTGGAACTACTTTGTGGATACAAAAACTGAGGCCCAATAAGATTCCAATTACTGCCAGCCTTCACCCCAGAGTTTAGGGAGGAGAGAAGGACAGAGAAGGGGAGAGAGAGAAAGAGAGAGAGAGAGAATGCCTGCCACAGAGGCAGGCTGCGGGTGAGGGAGGTGATCAGAGGGAAGCTGGAGACAATGATGCTGGGAAATGTACACTGGTGGAGAGATAGATGGGTGTTGGAACACTGTATGACTAAAACCAAATTATGAACAGCTTTGCAAAGATCTATTTCACAGTGATTCAATAATAAAATCTTAAAAAAAGAAAGCAAAGGGGGACGGAAGAAGACGAGTGAGAAATGGAAGTAATGGTTGAACAGAGGTTGGGGCATCAGTTATACTGGTGATGTGGGAGAATGGTATAGCTATATATTCAAAACACAGACTCAATGACACAGAAAACATGAAATTTAAGTTGCAATCACCAACACTTTGTAATGTACCTGTCAAGGTGTAGAGGTAGGGGTGTGATGGAGATGGAGTATGGGAGCACTGGTGGAGGGAAGTTGACACTTGCATGCGGCCAACCCAGGTTCGATTCCCAGCATCCCATATGGACACCTGAGCACTGCCATGAGTAATTCCTGAGTGTCTGAGCCAGGAGTAACCCCTGTACAACACCAGGTGTGACCCAAAAAGCAAAAAAAAAATGCTATATGCCTCAAATGTAATAAAATCAAGTTAGGCTTTAAAGGATTTGACCTGTCACTAACCCTAAAGTAAGGAAAGCATTCAAACTGGAACCACTTTGTGGATACAAAACTGAGGCCTGATAAAACTCCAAATGGAGGGAGAACCAGCCCTAGAGAAGTCTGGGGAGGAGAAATTTCAGCAGAAACAAAAGGCTGCTATAAGAACATGAAATATCAGCCTTTACCCCAGAGTTTTGGGAGGAGGACAGAGAAGGAAAGAAATAAAAGGAGGAAGGAAGAAGACAAGTAAGAAACAGAAATAATGGGTGAAGAAGTGAGGGTGGTGATGGAGATTGAATATGGGAGCACCAGTGAAGGGAAGTTGATACCATTAGTAAGACTGTTGTTAAAATATTCATAATACCTCAAACTTAATTACTAATAATTTTGAAAATCAATGTTCTTTTATTAAATAAAATACTTTGATAAAGAGCATGAGAGAAGTCCACTAAAGTTCAAAGGTCTTCCTCTATGATAATATCCTAATTTACTCTTACATCTACAGAATACTCCATGCCAAGGAAATTTGAAGAACATCTATGTATCTCCTTCTGAAAAGCCATTCAGGGCTCACTGCCCTCTGCAGAAGCCTGTGTTCTCTCTTGAATGTGTTACTCTCTCTTTCCTTCTTCATCATCTCTAAATCAAAATATTTTGACTTCACTCTTTGTCTCCTCCTGCAATTATTTTCTGTGAGGGGAGGCCACATTCCTAGAAAACCTGGCCAGAATTTAGGTCTGATTTTCCCTTCCTGTAATGAGCAATTCCTTGTTTCAGTCTGAGTTTTAATGCTCCCTAAGAAATTGTGTTGCAGGGATCATTTTCCCCACTGGGTAGAACAAGTGGAACTCAGGTACAGTTAGATGATCACTGCACAGGGTTGGTGAGATGAAAGGTCTGGACTATGTAGATGTTCAATCAGGTGTAGGACTCTCATCAGTCCTCAACTTCTCTGGGCACCTCCCCGGCTGACAGAGGTGGTTAGAAAGGAAAGTTATAGACATCTCTCCCCACTTCACATAAGTCATCTACAAAAATAGCATCTCTTATACATGATTGCTCTAACTTTAGAGACATAATTATTTTTATCTTGTCATCCCCAACACCTACTAGCTGGTTTGTAATAAGTGATCAATAATGTGGACTGCTGAATGTGGACTGTTGACTGAATCAATATTGCCTCTTGTTACACTCTTATCTGCCCCTCCAAAGTCTAGAGGTTAGAGGTGTATTTCTATTTCCGAGAATGGAACTATCTGGCATCCTGAGAAGATTTCAAGCCAATTGCTCAGGCGTAGTTGCTTCAGTTAAACAGGATGGAGCTACAGCATGTTTAAGAAGCAAAACCAAGGGCTAAGATTTCTTCCTACCAAGGAGCTAATTGGTGTAGATGAGATAGAAGTTAATGGTCCCTGGAAGGACAGTTAATTAGCATATTAATGGAATTCTGTTTCTACTTCCCTTGTAGTCATTTGTTATTGCAGCACCCTATGCCACTGGTCATTGCTGCAAAAGTGAAATTCTGTTTTCAAAGTAGGGTCTAATGACTCCAATGACAGCTGTTTGGTTAGTTCAAAGAAACAAGTCATTAGAACTAAAAGCAAAAGTGTAAACACAATCCCAATTAATGATTTGGGCTCATTATTGTTTCCTGCTGTGCCCCTTAGCTGAAATTCAGTTTTGGTTTTCAAGACGTAACTCATCACACATTCACACTACATGCAAACTACATGCAGACATACACACACATACCACAAGGTACAAACGCACTGAATTGAATGCTTCTGGGAAATAAATAGGGAGGCCTGAAAGAACTAAAGGGATGTGTAATTTATGAAAAGACGATCCTCCCCGTCCCTACCTCAGAGTCAGGATGGAACAGATGTGCTAAAAATGCTTACTCAAAAAGGCACTTTACCTGAACTTTGCAGGAAACCTTCACAGGATCTCCAAGTCCAGGACGAAAACCTACAATCTATCAAAAGAAAACCAGCACGTAAAAAATAGATTGGACAGTACAAATAGGGCTTTTCTAAATCCCCCTTGAGTAAGCCCTTCCTTAAACCTAAGCCTAGTCTATTTTGCTCTCTCAGAAATATTCCAGAAAGCAGAAAATAGAAACTGATTTCAGAGCTGGGCAGCTTAGCTTATTCCTTGCATTGGTGCCTGATGTTATTTCAATGGTAATGGCAGAAGATCATCCTGAATATGGAAAAGCACTTTCTGGTTGCAAAAGGAGTGTGCCTGGTGAGATTGTCATACCTAATGCATGGAGTAGAGAAAAGGAAAATATTTTTCTTCTAGGAACTATCTTCTATTTTGTCCCCAGATCAATCCCCTGTTCCAAAGAGCACAGGAGCTATTTCCTGACAGAGAGAATCAAAGAGCAAACTTAGGGGTGAGGAAGAAGTATGGAATTAGAAAGTATTCAAGTAATAATAGGTTCTCAGGTAATAACTTTAGTAACATCATTTGAGATATAATAACAATCAGCACAAATTTACTCCTTTTGATTTAAGTTTTGATAATTCCATTTGTCTTTGTGTTGTAACAAACAATGTGAAGCAAATTTATATCTGCAAGGAATAGGCTGGCATGGTGGTTGGGAAACTGGGGATATTGATGGAGGGAAGGGCACACTGGTGGTGGTATTGGTGTTGGACATTTAATGCCTGAAATAACTGCATTATGTATAACTTAGGAAATCAAGGTACTATAGCAATATTTAAAAATTATTCACGTAAAATACCTATGGACTATATTTTAAAAAGGAAGTATTCAGGGAGAAGAGGGAATCACATCTTGATATTTTTGTCTGGTTATTTGACTTAATGCTGCCGCCAATAAAAATGGCCAACCTTGCACTGTGTGAAGACAGAGCCCAAGAAAACTGGAGTGGCCAGAATCGTCCTACCCATCTCATTTACTTATCACTGCCAGAGTAGCAAGGGCTAATAATATACCCGGTTCATCTTTAAAAGAATGCAGGGTTGTCCAGTAGAGTAGCCAAAAGTAGGATCCTCTAGGCCAGAGCAGTTCTTCAGAAAGGAGCGCTTAAACTGACAGGCCTTCTTGTCCTCATCCTCATCACCATCTTGGATGAAGTACTGCCCCGGGGGACAATCAACATTCATTTCCTCTTGAAGGCTGTCATTGTAACCTAAAGCATGTGTAGATGGCAAAGCTCATGTTAGATAATGTTAAACATGGTACCAGGGAAAGCTGCATCTTTAATAACCTCTCCTCTCTAACTAATTTCCTATCTCTAGTTTCCACCTCTGAAAGCCAACTCAATCTTTTCTAGGTCTTGTGACAGTGATAGGAGGTGCATAAGACCCCTCATCAGCAACATTCTTTCCAGGAAGTCTTCTGGGTTAGTCTTTCGTTCCCACTTTGATTGTCCCCTTGCTTCTCAAGTTCCCTTAGACTTTCTATATATTTATCTCTGGGTCATATATAAGTCCCCTTTAAATTCTTCTCTTTATTATTCTTATTTTCTCCCAGTTTGGTGGTGTGTAGATTTAGAGGGCTGCTTCTTCAGCTTATGGGAGAGCAATAGGCACAGACTAGTGATTTGAAAGAGGGACAAAAGCATGTAAAGGCGTGGTGATTATAAGGAGGCAAAGCCAAGGGGCAAAGTTTTTTGAACCAATGTTTTTATGTTATGGGGGTAGGTGCCCCAAAATGGAATCTTTTGTTATAAGCAGAGGGTCATAACTATGTTCAATGTAGTACTTAGGGGGCTGGAATGATAGCCCTAGTCCTACCCATTGTGCTCTACCCGTTGTGCTATTGCTCCAGACCCCCACATGCATGTTCTTTAGAGAAATTCTCAATTGTAGAGTAGCCTAGGCTGAAAGACAGAGACTAGTGACAATCAGGGTCTCACCAAGAAGGTGAGGGAGTGAGATCTCTCCTGAGACCTCAGACGCTCAGAGTTAGTGGCCTTTTGCATGGAACAATATGTGACATGTGTCTGAAGTACATACATGGGGGAGAGAGTTGGAAGAAGCCCTCTGTGAAATGAATCTTTGAGGCTTACAGCATGTCAGGGAACTGGCATCAGCTAATTGCTGCACAATTTCCAACTTCGTTCTAAATGATGGCACCCAGAGAGTCTTGTTATTCCCATTGGGTATGTTCCAAGGAGCTTGTTTCAGAGACAATGGCACCCCTGATCCTCTTCTAAGCAGGATGGAAGTGGGTTTGATGTTATTAAGAAGCAACTGGGGATTTTAAATCAGTTCCAGTTATGGCTAAGACTAATTTTCCCTTTGATAAAGTTACATTCAAGCATTGCTTTTAAATATATTTTTAAAAAATGACTAAGTACTTTCTAAATATAAACATAATCACATATTTATTGTTTCTCTTGAGGTATTTTCATCAAAATAATGTGACATGGCTATGACCCTTGCAAAACTCCAGTTTTTGGTGTGAATGGAATTGATACTTTGGGATGTCTATCCCAGCGGTGTGTTCCTTTCTAACAGGGTATATAGTAATATTTACTTAAGAATTAAGAGCTGGAAGCTTTTCCTAATATTTCCTACCTCTAACATCATGTCAGAATTGATATTTCTCCTTTCACTGCTTTCTCAAAGGAATTTCCTCTTCAGAAATTCTGGCAATATGTCTGCAGTGCTCACAAGTGTTTTGGGGAGGAGGAAGAGAGAGAAGATATTGCAACCATTGTTGAGTTATGTTGCTTTGGTTTTTGGTTCTTTTATTTTTTGCTAAAAATGGAACTACATGGAATTAGAAAGATTCCTGTATTTTCTCTTACAGTTGAAGATTCTGAAGGTCAGGTTTAACGCCAAATAACACGGAAGATTGCAGCTACAGAGCCACATTTTTTTCCTGGTCACAGGGCAGCCTCAAAGAATTATGAAAAGCAGCACTTCTCAAGCTTTAAAGGTCAGACACATCACTGGTAGATCTTGTTAAAATGCAAATTCTGATTCAACAGGTCTTGAGAAGGGCTGTAAGATTGTGAGCCCGCTATTAGCTGCCACTGCTGCTGGCTCTTGGGTGTTGTCTCTCTATGTAGAAGGGGGGGTCAAGAACATCCAGTAAGGGGGATGGTAGTGGTGGGGGGATACAGACTGGTATACTGTTGCTCTGGAGAGACTGTGGTTATGCTGTTTCCCCTTTCTGAGCCTCAGTTCCCGCATTTGTAAAATGGGCTGAGAGATTCTGCTCTGCAGGGTTAACACTGCTTGACAAATATGTGCCCTGCAAGAACACCTCTCTGGAGACATAGGAACAGGGATAGAGAATGTGGGCACTTTTGCAGTGATAGTGGTTGGGACTGTAAATTTGTACATCAATACCATAAATGTTAACATATATTGTACCCATGTTGCATACTCTATAATTAAAAAGGGTGGGAAAGATAGTACTGGGATTCAGGTGCTTGCCTTGTATTCGGCAAACCCCGGTTTTATCCAGGCACCACACAGGATTCACCCTGCCCAGGCCCAGCGGGAGTGATCCCTCAACACAGAGCCAGAAATATACTCTGAGCACTGCCAAGTGTGGTTCAAACACCCACCCCACTGAAGGAAGGAAGGAAAGAAAGAAGGAAGAAAGGAAGCAGGAAAAGGAAGGAAGAACACTCCCCAAACACTTCTTAATACATTGACGATAGCTATTCTCTGAACTCATTGCCCACTCCTCCCCTCCAGCTCTAGCCAGGACAACCAAGCCCCTCTGGGTGGCTTTCCACACAAATAATAGCACTGCAAACCCACTGGGGCATTTTTTCTATAGCTGAATAAACACGAGACCTTTGCCTGTGTTTCACCTTCACCAAGTTGCTATCTCTGTGCTCACTCTGAGCAAGGACCTCTCAGAAAACCACTCATTTTCCCCTGAAAGTGTGTCTGATGATGCTCCAGAGATAGGCATCTTGAAAATAGCCATGATCCAAAAGGTTCAAGTGACTGTTACTCAGAGATTCATCCTCTACTTTACTTCTGTCATGTTAGCAAATAAAGATATGCTCTCTTTCTCCCCAGAAATAAATTTTCTTACCTGGAGAAAGTAGAGAGAGCAGTTCTTCTAGCTCCAGGGATAATTCCTTCCCCCCCCCAAATCCCCCCAATCCAGAATTCTCTATTATGATGAATCTTTATTGAACAAGCAGCTATGACTGGAGAAAGACTAGAGGCTGTAGTGTGCTACAGAAGCTCAAATTAGGTCTCTGTCCACAGTGAACTTATCTTGCAAGAGGGTGGCTCATGGCACCAACTAGAACAGTTTTGGCATGTCCAGGTGCTGATGGGGCATATAAGGTAAGGAAGAAACTCATGGGCTGGGGTTCATGGGATTCCTATGCCCAGTAAATTTTAAATTCCTATCTATGATTTTTTCCAAAGAGCTTTCCAACAAAGCGACAAACTTACCCTGGAGAAAGCCATTTAGGCTAATCACATAATGCTGCCAAGTATCAGGTTCAGAAATGTTAAAGTTGAAGTTAAGGCTATGGGCGAAGGGTCTGATCATAACTCCTGGCAATGAAAAGAAAAAGACTTCGCTATATTAACCCATTCTTGGAATCCTTCGTTTTTGGTATTGATTCCCATGAAACCATCCCCCTGCCCCAGGCAATCAAAATGAAAAGGGCCATAATTTGCCAAGTTCCATTTTACTTTTACGCTTAATAATTGAATCCCTAAGTCATTACCGGGAAGAGCCGAAGTTTATTGAGACTGAACATGCTACGCGCGCAGATTTCTGTCCAGCACATTCTGACAACACAGGGCATTTGGGAACTCACCAGGAGGTTTCACCCTCTCTGTGAAGGTCGGCAGGTAAGGACTGATGGTCAGAAATATCGAGTACATGAAGACGGTGATCACAGCCGCCAGAGAGGCATAGAAGAAGAAGTAAATGACTAAGATCATACCTGCAGGAGAATGAGATTTGGGAGTGATCAGTGCTGGCCCACTTGCCCATCTCCTTAGTTGGACTCAGGAACCAGAACCAACCTAAACACGAAGGTACCTTGTGTTTGGGAGTTCCCCAGTTCAGTGTGTCCTTGCATTTTTATCAGTTTGGAATTGGCACAAATTATGCCAGGGGCTCAAATGTAGTTTTCCTTTACAGCATCACGATGGAAGGGCTTGCTGGGCAAATGATGACCAAAAACAAGATTATAGGACAGCGGAGCTTAAAATACTGCAGAGACCAAATTGTTCAGGAGTCCTTTGGGCACTGGTTTATATACTCTAGGTACAAATCATTCTTGGCTATTCATTCACGCAGGAAAGCTGAAGAATTTGAACAGCTTGATTCCAATGATTATAGGTATTTGCAAGTGGTGAAAACAGCATTTCTTTTCACATAGACTATAATTCAAATTCCTAATGAATTTCTACTGGACTTCTCCCTAATCAAGGCTAATTGAGGCTTCACCCTGTATGTTTCAGATCTTATTCTTTTTGGGCAAAAGTTTCAGTGCTTATACTATTCAAAAAGAGCAACAGCACAGAATGGGGAAGAAAGGGAGGAGAAAGCCATATGTAATTGTTGGCACTACAACCTATGAGCTCAGGACTGCTATAGAAACTCAATGCATCCTCCTCTCCACTAAGCTTCACAGGTAAATAGGGCTTAGCATGCATCTTGTATTTTTTTTAATTTTCAAAAATCTTTTTATTTTATTTTGGCTTTGGGGCCACACCTGGTGATGCTTAGGGCTCACTCCTAGTTCTAGGCCTAGGGATCACCCCTGGAAGGGTTTGGAGGACCTTCTTTCCTTCCTTCCTTCCTTCCTTCCTTCCTTCCTTCCTTCCTTCCTTCCTTCCTTCTCTTTTTATTTCTTTCCTTTCTCTCCTCCACCCTGCGATGTTTAGAGATTACTTCTGGCTCTGCACTCAGGAATCACTCCTGAGTAGCTCAGGGAACCATATGGGGTGCTGGAGATCAAACCTGGGTCAGCAGCTTGCAAGCAAGCAGTGCCCTACCTGATGTCCTATCTCATCAGCCTCTCTCTCCCTCTCTCCATCTCTCTTTCTCTCTTTCGTCCTTCCTTCCTCTTTCCTTCCTTCCTTCCTTCCCTCCTTCTCTCTCTTTCTTCCTTCCTTTTCTTTCTTTCCTTTCTTCTCTCCTCTCTTTCTCTCTCTGTTTCTTTCTCTTTTTTTCTTTATTTCTTCTCTCCTCTTTTTTCTCTCTCTCTTTCCTTTCTTCATTCTCTCCTTCTTTCTCTCTCTCTCTTTCTTTCTTTCTTTCTTTCTTTCTTTCTTTCTTTCTTTCTTTCTTTCTCTCTTTCCTTTCTTCATTCTCTCTCTTTCTTTCTTTCTTTCTTTCTTTCTTTCTTTCTTTCTTTCTTTCTTTCTTTCTTTCTTTCTTTCTTTCTCTCTCTCTCTCTCTTCCTTCCTTCCTTCCTTCCTTCCTTCCTTCCTTCCTTCCTTCCTTCCTTCCTTCCTTCCTGTCTTTCTTGTGTCTGAACACACCATGGTGCTCAGGGGTACTATCTCTCCAGTTTAAGACTAAGTTCTCTCCAGAATTAGCCAGCATGGGGCAAGGTGGACCCCCCTTCTCCAACTTAGACAACAATAGCCGTCTTTGCTCACATCACTGACAGGTTGTTCAATTCAAAACTAGAGGTTTGAATTGAATCATGAAGCCCAAACCAGAACAAACTACATAACTTTGCTGGATCCAAATGGAATCCAAATATGAATTTTTTAAAACAGAACCATATGAACCCAATCACATTCACCCTCAACAAGGAACAGAGAAAGGAAAGGGGCCGTTAAATCCCCTGGTAATCCAACCAGGGATGAACCTAGATGAACTAATGCAGAACTGGTACATGAATGCATTGATTCAGCTAGAGTCTTTGGAGTAAAACAGCTGTACTCAGATGCTTGGCTGCTGCTCCCAGGCTATCCTCATGGGCTGTGCCCAGTGTTGCTCTTCCCTTCTGCTGGCCCCATCTTGCTAAAAATGGATCCACCATGGGAGTCATCTTGGGGGAGCAGAAGTTACAATTTCATGTATGAACAAAAAAAAAGATAATACAAGGTACATTTATATGGAGATAGATTTCTTTTGGCTCTAGTTATGTGACCTTAACCTTAAATGTGGGAGAATGGTAGTAGCAATGAGTGTCCTCAGCTTTACTAGGGGCCTGTGATCTAGGGTCTAATGGAAGACATCTCAGTCACTACTACTCCTGAATGGCCACAGCCACAACTAAACATGGTACACTCCTTGGGACCTATTTATCCCTCCAACCTTTTCTTCTTTGGAAGTCCATGTTTTGTTTTGTTTTTGAAGAGTTACACCAGGTAATGCTCAGGGGTTTCTCTTGGCTCTACGATCAGGAATTACCTCTGTGGTGCTAGGAGGACCATATGGGATGCCAGGGATTGGACTTGGATTGGCTTCATGCAAGGCAAAAGTCCTACCCAATGTCCTATCGCTTTAACTACTGTAGGTCCATGTTTTATTCTATTATTTGGATGATCCACGTTCTCTCTTGAATGCCCCACATAATCTAATCCAACTGGGACATCTTGTCTATTCCAGATCCCTAGGATCTCAACTCTTTAGTACTTTTACCGAAACATCCCTTACGATCCCAAGCCCATCTAAACTGTATGACTTTGGACGAGTTATTCTCTAAACTTCTGTCTCTGCCTTCCTAAAAGGGGAATAATAATATTATTCCCTCAGAAGATTTTTGGCAGTTTCCAGTAACATAACATAGTTCCTCAAAGTAGAGGTTGTGTGACTACTAAAGCAAAACCCAGAGTAAAATAATAGGCTGAGCAAGTATGTTGGTGATGTTGATGTTCAGAGCTGTGCCAGGATTTGAAATGCCTAAATAAACACCTTGTTCTCAAGTCAGAGGGCAGCAAGGCATCTGTTGGATGGCCTCAGAATGAGCTATTTGCTCATCACTATAAACCGAGTACTCCTTAAACCTTCTACTCATAAGCCTGCATTATGTCCCACTATGGTATGTCCTACCATGGATATGTCCAAGCCAAGATATCTTCCTTGGCTACTTGAACATGCTTTCCTCATTCACAATTAGAAGCCTGTGGATTGATTGCTCTCCATTGGAGTGCTTTGGATCTACTCATCTGGTGAAGTTCTAATCGCTGGTTCTTTAGCGATTGATGCATGGCCCCTTTCTCCCAGAATCAGACTGGCATTTCACAAGACCTATTTTTCCTCCTTCTTTTTTATGCAAAGGATAAACAACTGTATCCCCTTCTACAACGCACTCCCCACTGCAGTGTCCTGTATTTTTCTGTAGCTTCAAGAATGTTGGAATGTTCCTTGAATGGTACATTTTTTTCCAGTTGTGAGTTTGAGAACTGGACAGGGTGAGACTGGAAATGGAAGAGGAATAAAGGGAGGTGGGTGATATTCAGAACTCCCATAACCTCCATTCCTAATTCAAGGAAGTAGGGCTAAGGGGATCATACTTATTGTGTTGAATTTGTTTGTTTTTTCATGCCTGGAGATGTTCCTGGGTTTCTCCTGGCTCTGTGCTTAGGGATACGTCCTGGCAGTGCTCAAGGTACCTTATGTGGCTCCAGGGATGGAACCAGGGTGGGCTACATACAAGGCAAGAGCCTTGATCTCTGTACTATTTCTCTGGCCTGAGTTGAATTAAAGTAATAAACTATAAGGGAGAGAATTATCTAATGGGACATTAGAATAAATAAGCATCCTACCAACTGTACTATCACACCAGCCACAATTCTATGCTTTTTCAGCTCATCTCTCCTCTTTCTGTCAGGGGACTTCCATAGCATGGAAGGAGCAGTCAGGGTTGTCTTGGTGTCCATGAGACATTGAGGAAGACTCCTCTTGAGACCTCATATACAGCAACAGAGACTCCTAATATTATGGAACCCATTCCAAACACGCATGGTCTCCTCTAATTTGGGCTTCTCCTGTGGGTGCACTGAACACTAAATCACCAGCTGCTCTTTCCTGGACTGTGTAGTGGGGACCCAAGTGTGTATTTTACCCTAGATAAAGTATTGTGAGGAAACTCAGCATAAAGAATTCAAGAGGTGAGTATTGAGGCAGTTGCGAAGTGAAAGTGGGTACAAAGAAGAAATGGGAAGGAGTGTGATTCTATCATTGGCCAAGCCCCAGAGCTGCTCAGCATCATTCTGCCAGTGGTCCCTTTAAGACTGAATCCTCCACGTACTCTCTGAATGCCTGAAGTGCCTGCAGGCTGGGACCAGGGATAGGCTTCTTGACTTTCCTTCTCTGATATTACTTGGCGAAACCATAAAACTTTAGAAATACTCAAGCCAAAAAAAAGAGAAATAAATACTCAAGCAGATTAGCAGGAACTTGTGTCTCATATCCTAGAAATAGTCTTGTACAGAGTTATTCAACTTTGTAATTTTTGGAAGGGGGGCCAGCTTGGACCATACTTGGTGGTACTCAGAATATACTCCCTGACTCCACACTCAGAGATCACTCCTGGTGGGCCTTGGGAGACCATATCAGGTGCTGGGGATCCAATCTGGGTCATGTTGTATGCAAAGCAAGTGATCTAGTTGCACTATTGCTCCAGCCCCAATACTTTACAACTTTAGCTTGCATTGGTTTCTGGTAATAGTCCAAGGCTGCTACCTGTGTGGTGCTTTTGGAATTGGGAGAGGTTGCTTTCTGTGGTACTTGCAATGCCAAGAATCAAACTCAGGGTATCCTGCAAGCAAAACATGTGTTCCTGCCCATTGAACTCTCTGGTCCTTTGATTTTGAAATCTTATTCCAGCTACTGGCTGATGCCGCTGGAGAAGCTAGACAGCAATTTCTCTTGTTGGGAAGATGTGGAGGGTAAGAGAGAGGGTAAGTGGAGAGCCTATGGTCTGACAGATAGAAGGACTTTCAATTCTGTCCTTTTTCTTTTGGGGGAGTGGGGGTGGGATAGGATTTAAGCCACACTTGGCAGTGCTTATTCTGTGCTCAGGAATCACTCCTGGTGGACTCATAGGACCATATGGGATGCTGGAGCTAAAACACAGGTTGACTGCAGTCAAAGGCAAGCACTCTACCAACTGTACTATCATTACAGCCACAATTCTATGCTTTTCCAACTCATTTCTACACTTTCTGGCAGGGGGCCCCATAGGCTTGGAGGGGAAGTCAGGGTTCCTTGGTGCCCATGGGACATTGAGGAAGATTCATTTTGAGACCTCATATTTGCTGGGGGTTCATGGGAGGCATATCCTAAGTCACCATGCCCTCTAGCCACCCTTTCGATTTCTCATTGGGAGTCGCTCATGAAGTGAGTGTTACTGGGCTTTGCACTTGGACCTTGCACTTGCCAGGGAAGCATCTTCTGGGCCATCTCAACTGATACTAAATGTTCCTCTTTTATTGCATTGGCTGTTGCACCTATGCAAATAAGTTTGTTCATCTACTCAGATTTTTGCTGCTGGAATCTGACCATAGTGCAAGCATTTCCCTAGGCATTGATACTTTTAGATGAAATACTAAGAGAAGTTTGCAAACAAGCCCATCCAACGTTGGATAAAAGAGTACTCGATCATTAAGCACAAAGCAAAGGACACCTGTCTGGGACATTGGGACAATCGGGACTTACTCCAACTCTGACCTGTTCGGGCCAGAGACATCCGTTTCTCTGGATCCCACAGGTATTCGCTCACGATCTGCAATTTTTCCCACCAGGTATTGCCTGCTGGCTGCCCCTGTCCTTCTTCCTCCTTCTTTTCATCCTCTTCTTTCTCTTCCTCTTGCTCTTCATCTTCTTCCTCCACCTCCTCTTCTCCCATATCTGGAGCCATCATCACCTGAGTCTCTTCTTCGGCTTCTTCCTCCTCATCTGCTAAATAATTCTTGTTCACTTCATCCTGATCATCCTGGAATGATGATAAAACACAATCTCCTTCTTGCAAAAAAGAGCAAATTTTCAAGGCCACAATTCAATCAGCCAACAATCAGTGAAAAACAACACAACATTGGTAAATTGCTATAAATGTCCACTTCCTCCTATACATACTCTGGATAACATGAAACAGATTTTCCTTGTCTGTGTTCTTTGGGAGGCAAGAGTCTTCCCATTTAATACATAGAGGTTTGATAATTTTTTCTGAGCTCTAGGCACCTGGACTGTTTCCCTAGGATGGATGCCAGTTTCCTATCTCTATCTCCACTCTGTCCTGGCGCCTGAACCTGTCAGGACCAAACTAAGTAAAACTTTGGAGAATGTTGTCGTTTCAGACACTTGTGTCCATGATGGCAAATCCTTAGCCCAAACCATATTTGTCCTTACCCGCTATCCCTTCTGAGCTGCTCAACCTCACCATCCCAAGTTGTGGTTAAAAATAGCCTGGGACAGACATTAAGAGGCTTGGCCAGCTGCTGTACCCCTCCTCAAAACTTTGACTGCTTTCCCAGGCAGAACATGAGGTGTGGGTTTATTTGCTGATTCCCTGCCTGCGTCTTGAGCTGGGGCTTTTTTTGACTTGAAGTTGAATAGATCACCAGAGAACTGGGATTCCCCCACTCACACACACATACAAGCTGCCTCACTCACCACAACTACTCCTAACCACCTCCCCTAGGTCAACATCAGAGCCCATAGTAAGTGTTTTGTTCATATCTGTTGAGTGGCCACTGCCGAGATGTGAAAGCTGAAATTGTTTCTTCCCAAAACACTGCAAGAACGACCCAGACGCTACCAAATGGCATTTCAAAGGCCTCCCAGATCCAGGCTATAGAGCTAGATTTTTGCTCTTGGTGGTCTGCCAAAGTGCAGCAGGGGGGCCTGCAGCCAACGATGCTGCTCTCCCTTCTCTCTGCTGTCGAAAGCTGACAGCCTGTGCACCTGTTAGGGTTGGATGTGTCAAATGCTTGAGGCCCAGGACTCCAAGCTGCCCCCTCCCTGCCTGATTCCTCAAAGGCCATTTAGAGGACACTCTACTAAAGGACGCTGCTTGGGGAAGAGGAAGCTGGTGATGGTGGTGATGGTATGTGTGTGTGTGGGGGGGGGGTGTTGTGCCTCAGCAAACTGGCTTATTCTCCATCAGTAGAAGAACACCAAAACTTGCATCTCAACATCCTATCTTCCCTTAGCTATTGAGCTTTTGCTAAAAAGTGCTCTTGAGTTCTCTAATTTGTTCACATGTGCAGTTTGAAAATGCACACCTGCTTCAAGTGCCTGGGGACTGCAAAGATTCTCAGGGCCTTCTGAGATTCAGAGAAGTGACATACACAATCCTACCCAAGCCATGCAGCAGGTTTACTACAAGGGGCAGCTTTGAACCCTCTGTCTCTTGACACTGTGAGCCCTGATGTGACTAAACTGTGAATTCCTTATGTCTGATTTAGTAGCATCTAGCCCATTACTGCCGCACTGAATGGGCACATGCGTGTTCTTTTTGGTGGGTTGTGAGTTTGTTTTTTTTTTAATTGCCACCTGATGGTGCTCAGGTCTCCTGGCTCTGGATTCAGGGATCACTCTTGGAGGGGCTCTGGGAACCATATTTGGTGTCAGGGATTGAACCCTGGTCAGCCAAATGCAAGACAAACACCTATTCATTGTGCTGTTGCTCTGGCCCAGGAGTGTTCTGAGTTTTTCTCCCAGTTGTGCAAACACAGCTCTGTGGCTGCAGTCTGTACAGGCACCAAGGTTCTTGCCTTGTCTTTCTTTCTTTCTTTCTTTCTTTCTTTCTTTCTTTCTTTCTTTCTTTCTTTCTTTCTTTCTCTCTCTCTCTCTCTCTCTCTCTCTTTCTTTCTTTCTTTCTTTCTTTCTTTCTTTCTTTCTTTCTTTCTTTCTTTCTTTGTCACACCTGGCAATGCACAGGGGTTACTCCTGGGTCTGCATTCAGGAATTACCCCTGGTGGTGCTCAGGGACGATATGGGATGCTGGAAATCGAATCCAGGTCTGCCGCGTTCAAGGCAAATTCCCTACCTGCTGTGCTATTGCTCCAGCCCCACTCTTGCTTTGTAGTGTGGTAACTAGTGATCAAAGAAAATCTTGACTTAATTTCCTCTCCCCACTGCCCTCTTCAGCCTGCTGTGCCAGGACTCGGAATGGCGGGGGATGTTCACACAGAGATTGTCACCTTCACCTTGGAGGGGGAGGTATCAGGTGCCGTGCAGTGGGGAGGTAGCGTTATGTCTCCTTTGAGGAAACTCAGAGAATAACATTTTTCTGTGAAGGAATTTCTCTTTCCCATCCAAATTTCAGACCCATATTCTTTTCTTTTCCCATTTCCTCAGCGTTCCCTCCACCTCTGCTCCACAATGGAGGCAGCTGGCCTCAGCCTCAGCCTGATCTTATTTGTAGATATGAGCTCTCACGATAATCCCATTAAAGATGGCTTGTCATTAAAGCTTTCCCTCCAGGGAAGAATTAACCTTCTCCAAGCGAATTTCTCCACTGCTCTCACACTGCCTGAAGTTTAGGAACAGCCAATATCTTGTTTTCCCTTTCCCCTGACTCCAGGCATAGGTGAGACTACCCACTCAGCCAGGAAGGGACTTTGAAGGGCAACTAACACTTGAATGAAATCATGTAGGAAATCCGTTGGGAATAAGGAGCCTTCATTTCTGCCAGCTTCTTACAGTGGCCCTGCCCTCATGAGCTAGTCTGGAAGGGTATTGAGCTCCAGCTGTGGGTGTGTGCTGTGGCCATTCTATCACCCTAAAAGGGAAGAGTCCGAGGGGCAGAAGGTGGCTCCACCACTTGCACTCTAAATATATAAACATAGAAACAAATACATGGAGAAACGCATGAGCCAGAAGATATGCACATGGCATGCCTTTGAGCAAGTTCCTGTAAACATTCAAAACAGTTGGTTAATTTTATAAGAGACATGAACATGTGATGACTCAGGGTAGCAACTGATTTCTTTACAAATTTGATCAAGGAAATTCATATAAAGAGCAATATCTCCCAGTGCCTTTAAGATCCAAACCAGTACTGTCTGGGGGCACTTTTGGTGGTAGTGATGTGCAGTAAGATAGACATTCAACATTAACACACATGGAACTATGTGCCTGCAAAGATAAGCGGAAAACCCAACCCTAAAGAATGGAAAGGATATGCATTTTAAGAAATATTCCAGAGAAAAGAAACTGAGAAACGACTCATTACAGATACCCTATCAACTGTGACTGCTTCTGACGCTGGAAGAGATTTGGGAGATGTCAGAAGAAATGTTGGGAAATTCAGGGAAGTCCTCTGTATGTTGGCAGAGGGTTAGAAGAACTTGTATTTCTCCTGCTGGTGAGGATTGCTCGCCTTCACTCAGCTCCCAGGTCCCACAAGTGACTGTGCCCAGAGCAAAACCAGATTCGGCATTGTTTGCTACTGGGGCTCAAGAGCTCAACCCTCTCTGGGGAGATTTTCAATGATCCTGCCTTCAAAAGTACACTGTGTGGGCCGTAGAGATAGTACAGCCGATAAGGCACTTGCCTAGCAAGCAGACAACTAAGGTTTGATCCCCAGAACCATATCCACCTCCCCAGATGATCCCTCAGTGAAGAGCTAGGGGTAAGCCTTGAACACTTCTGGGTATGGTCCCCAAACCAAAAAACAAACAAACAGAAGCACTGTGTGTGCTATCCATTAATGATTTATGGAAAAGTAAATGGAAAGCAAGTTTGGGTTCAAAGACATTTGGCATGAACTCTGGAGACTGATGATGGTACGGAAAAAATGGGGTTGCAGGGGGGGGCGGGGATGAGGAAGCAGGGTAGCTATGAGTGGTCGGGATCTGGGGGTTGGCAGTTGCATTCTACAAATAGAATGAAAAGAGCACAGGATTCAAAGTGAAGAAACTTATATTCTCAGTTCTTCTGATAACTTGCGAGGCACTTGTAGGCTCTGAGCTCCAGCTGTCTCCTTTAGATAATGAGGGGTTCTAGACAAGCCCCTGCCTATCATCCTTCTAGCAAGGAATCTAGGATTTTTGTCACAGCTTGCAATGGTCGCTTTAGATAAAGAGCAGCTGGGTTCCCAAGGAGCTCCCAAAGGCTCACCCCAAAGGGAGTGAGACAGCTGAATAGCTGTTCCTTTTGCTTCCTTTCTTCTTCCCCCTCATCTTGGAAAAATTCCCTGCTGTTGGAACGAAACTTCAACTTCCAGATTCCTAAAGGTCTGTTCAAATTTGAGACCACCAAGAAAAATACAGTTTAAAAGCCCCCTTTCCCTCTGGACTGTTCCCCTCTCCTTCCCTTTGCTCCACAGGAAATCGTGGGGGGGTATATTCTTCCTCCTCTCAACAAATTTAGGGTACCACAGTGGGGGGCTGGGAAATGAATGGGTTTCTTGCATCTTGTTGTTTCTGCCCATTCAAAGGAGAAGCAGCCAGAAGCTAAGACCTCAAACATACACACCCAACACACACACACACACACACACACACACAAATACACACACTGACAAGTTGCAGCAAAATAACCTGCCGTGTGGGGACTCACAAGTCTGAAGCGATAACCATACGGAAAGGTGGGTGCCCTTCTGGACCGCAGCTGCCTTCTCATGCTGGTCAGTGGATAAAGACGTGGCAGAGGCAAGCAGATGGGCAAGCGTTCTGTAGCTTCTGCTGGTACAGGAGACACTGGTGGCTGGGGCCACTTGGAGCTTAGTAAAAGTGAACCCTCTTGGCATGAGCCCTTCCCCAAAATAATCTAACATGCCCCTCTCTCATTGGCTGGCCCCTTCCTTGAATCGAAGGAAAGCCCTTATGGAAAAGCAAGCTCATCACTAAGGGAGGGGGAGATATTCTGGGTCATGAAGATGAGCGTTTCTTCCCCCACCCCTGACACACACACACACACACACACACACACACACACACAGTTCTCTTCCTGCCCCCTCTGCTCTTCTCTAGCGCCTGAGATACTATGGATCCAATGGAAATCTTGAGTCGCGTTCTCAATTGAGAGTTGGATATCAGTGTGTGCAAGGGGTGGGGCAGGGGTGGGAGTTGGGGGTGAGGGGAGTTGGCCAAGAATAACTTTCTTTTTTCATAAGGCTGATCTCATGCATAAGGATCTAGGGTGTCAGAAAAGATTCCCTTTGCCCTCCCTTCCCCTGCTACCCCCCGCCACACACACACACAGCCACGACAGTCTTCCCTCTTTGTGTCAATATAGGAACCCCTTAAACTGTGGATTAGGCAGTCCAATTTTAGAGAGCAGGCTCCTGCCTTACCTCTTCCCCACTCCAAAGAGGGTCTAAAGAATAGCTTTCCAGCTTTCCAGCCTACATGTTAGAATGGCCCCATCGGTCACTGCCCCCCACCCCCACCACACACACTCATACCCATTGGAATCCTGGCCAAATTTCTGTAGTGGTTGCAATCTATATTTATCCCTTAGCATCAGGGCAGGGAACAAGCCAGAACTTTGCAGTGTCAGTTTCTCAGACATATATAACTCCTGAAGCTAATGTGGAATCTAATGAGAGAGAAAGGAGCAGAAATTGTGAGACTATTGAAGAGATTTTTTGCTTTGTTTAGCCCACCCCACTAGAGCCAGGGTGGAGTTTGCAATTCTTCTTTCACAAACCTGCCCCTGCCCCCTTAATGACACCCAGGTGGCAGAGAATATCTCCTATACTGAGATTCAGGGCATATTTATAACTAAGCAAAAATAGTCCAAGCATTCAGATTGATATATTGATTTGGAATTCCAAGTCTAGGCTATTCTGAGGAAGACAGCTTGCATAGTGGCTCATTGCAAACAAGAAACTCATTTACAAGAGATCTTTGTTGGTACTTGAAAATCTTCCTAAATAAAGTGTCACCCTTTACCTGTGCTTGAAGAGAAATCGTTCACTGATAAAAGAAAGAGAGAGAGAGAGAGAGAGAGAGCGAGAGAGAAGGTCATCACTCTCTTTGGCATTTAATAAAAGCAAAATGTATTCCAGGGAATATGCTGGTCTCGGTAAACATTGAACTCTGTCTCTTAAACACTTTCTGTGCCTGAGTCTGAATGTGTTTCTGAATGTGAAGTAGAATACTGGAAAGCTACCAAATCCAAAGCAATGATGGATGACCTGGTCTTCTTGTCTCCCCAAGATAGAAAAGAGAGTGTAGTTTTGCTGCAAGGTTTCCAAACCAGGTATGAAGGACATTAGTTATAGCAGCCAAAATATGAAAACAACTGAAAAATTTGACTACATACACAAAAACATATACAGAGGACTATTATACAACCATGAGAAAGAAAGAAATACTGCCACTTGCAACAACACAGAGGAAGCTTGAGTATGCCATGCTAAATGAGCTTGTTACAGAAGTATAAATACTGTGTAAACTCACTTAGATGTAGAATCTAAAAGCAGTGAACTCAGAGAAATGTAATAGAATGGTGGTTTCCAGGAGCAAGGGACAACATGGAGGTGTTGGGCAAAGGCTACAAACTTCCAGTTATAAGACGAATAGGATGAAAGGCACTAGTAAACAACCTGGTGATTATAGTTTTCAATAAAACTGTATTATACACTGTGCTTAATGAATGCTGAGAGTAGATCTTAAATGAGAAAGAAATGGTGGGGCTGTAAAGATAGTACAGTGGATAGGGCATTTGCCTTGCACACAGACAACCCAGGTTCGATTCCTAGCACCACATAGGTATGGTCACCAGATCCCTGCTAGGTGTGATCCCTGAGTGCAGAGTCAGGAGTAAGCTATGAACACAGCCAGAAGTGGCATTCCCTCTTCCAAAAAAGTTAGAACAAACCCAAACAAAACAAAAGTAAAAAGAAAAAGAAATCGTAATTATGTGATGTAATAAGGATGTTAGTTAATACTGTGATGATAACCATTTTGCATATGACCATCATCATCCTGAACACCTTAAACTTATTCAATGCTATATAACTGATATAACTGACCTATATATATATATAGGTCAGTTATATCTCAATAAAGCAGGAAAGCCAGAAATCAAAAGCAGAAAGCCAGGAGCTGGATAGACAATACAGGGTAGTTACGGTGTTTGCTTTGTATGCAGTTGACTCTGTTTTGTTCTCCATCAATGCATATGATCTCCTGAGCACTGCCAGGAGCACAGAGAAGAAGTAAACCCTGAACATTTCTGGGTGTGGCCCCCAAATCACCACTGCCACCACCACACAAAAAGGCACCCCAAAAGCACAAAAGTGAGAGGGCAAAAAGGTCATTTGAATAACGTGGCCTCAGGCAATAAAACGTTCATTTTGCAGAATCTCTCATCTGCTAGCTTACTGGGTAATCCGAAGCCTGCTATTTACTTAACATATTTGCAATATACTTTGACTATAACCCAAGTTGCCTTCTGGAATGCCAGCTGCTGGGTGGGGTAAAATAACAAAACCCAAGAGGGCCTAAAAGACAGAAATATGAATGAATTCATATGCAAGAGGAGAGACTGCTCTTGCCACTTTTCAGAGGAAAAGCATTCTGCTTGAATAGTAGAGCAATCTGGAGCCAGAAGTGACCCATGGAGTTGGAAGCACAGCCGTGGCTACAGAAGCAAGAGATGGGGGAAAACGGGCAAGTTTTGCCTTTGACAGCACATTCAAAGGCAAATCATACCAGTTCCTGGAATTCTGTGCTCCACCCTTGGGCCCAGATATTAGCAGCTGCTTCTAAGGTCCCTTTACTGGGTTGCTCCTCCAGAAGAGCCACATGATTGCATATGGGAAACATATGGGTAAACAGTCTCAAAGACTGTGCACTCCTGATTTCACAAAGGAAGGAAGATATGACTACCCTCTTCAAATTATCTTTACCTCTACCATGCAATGATCTAGAGTTGTTGACATTTCTTCCTATGGTGCATTTCTTGGGGAATGGGTAGGCACATTTGTGAAAGTCTTCAGTGAGGTCTGAAGATACAGTACTGGAAATAAAGCATTTGTCTTGCATGTAGTTGACCCTGGTTTAATCACCAGCATAGCATATGGTCTCCTAACGATCTCCAGGGGTCACACCTGAGTACACAGCCAGGAATAGTCCTTGAGCACCTCTGAGTGTGTTCCAACAACCAAAAAGTAAGAAAAATTTACTGGGCCCAAGGCATAGTACATGAAGTAAAGAGATTATTTTGCATGTAGTCGACTCTGGTTCAATCTTTGACACTAGATAAGGTCATATGGTTCCCTGAAGCACTTTCAGGAGTGATCCCCGAGTACAGTCAGGCATCCAAGAACTTTGAACAAGAATTCACTGAAGAAAGCATTTGCTTGCTTTGCTTAAGAAAAGTTTATTAGAAAAATATAAACAGAACATTTTCAAAAAAGAAGCAAGCAGATCTTTGCTCCCAAGGGTGAAATAGCCAGTGCTATTCATTGTCTGGCTATACATACTCTTTCTTGGATGTGGAAGGCTATCTACTAGACTTAGACATGAGAGTTTCTTCTTATTGATCAGACACTACTTGCCTCCTACGGCTAAATATTTTGCTGAGCTGTTGAATGTTAGCATCTGTGTCTTGCCCGTGAGAACAGAAACTTGCTGAGACATCACAGAGGGGCCAGTGAGGGTGTTTGTCTGCCCAGTGGGCTCACTAGAGAGATTGCTGGCTTGCATCTCCTTATGGATCTCTCACTTACTTCCTGCATCCTGGTTTGACACCTGACCACTAGGAACTACTGAACCTCTTTTTGGTAATCGTATTGGCCCCACTCCTTCCCCAATACAATGATGCTGGTGCATGACCCACTCTTGGATATCTGATCAGGCAGAGTGTACCATCTGTGGCTCACCTTTGACAGCCCAATAACAAAGACTATACCAACAGCAATGGTTGTTGCCAACATTTCCTATTACATAAAACAGCATTATTAATGATGCCACCAGCAATGACAAACACAAATTGCCATGCTGGCCTCAGAATGGAGATTCTGCTAGTCAGTCATCATAAATTTCCTCCATTGTGGGAGTGTGGGGGGTTGGGGAGAGTATGTCAAAAGCCATCCTTGGACACATGTGTCCTCTTTCTCCATAGGCACTGGTAAAATCCTCTGGGATTCCCCGGGAGGTCCTGTGCACTAGAACTTGAGTTGTTTGTCCCAGGCGCTATCGAGTACTCTCTAGGAGCCCAGCCCTTTCCACATGAGTCACCTGGAGGACTCCGAAGCCAGGGGTGGGGGAGGAAGCTCTAGACCAACCTAGCAGTGAATGCTGCCCTGCCTAGGGTGTCATCTTGGAAGGGCACCCTGAGAGGGGGAACTCATTTGGAACGGAAAAGATTAGGGAAGTCTTCCCGGAATAGGCGGGGTTTGGGCGGGTGTCGGAAGGGCAGTCCTTCAAGCTGGAACAGCTACTGTCCGAGTTGGATAATGCCAAGATGGTCCCTAGTGCCCAAAATTCCCCCTTTGGAAGAGCCAGTTCCTGAGTCATGGCCAGCAGGCGTGGTCAGCAGGTTCCCTGGCCAAGGACAGAGAGGATTTCCTTGACCTGAATGGTCCAGATAATGGCCTCAGATCCCTCCTTCACTGGGTTTCAGGAGGAACCCAGAGTGCATAACATTCCTCAGGAGACTTTCCATCTGTCGAGGACAGTTGTACTATGAGTGAGACTTTCATTTCGAGGGACTGAAGGCCATGG